CGGGCCCAGCCGCTCCGCGGCATGTGGGATCTTCCCGGACCGGGGCACGATCCCGCGTGCCCTGCATCGGCAGGCGGACTCTCAACCACTGCGCCACCAGGGAAGCCCATCCCCCTCTCACTCTTGACAAGCTTTTCACTTAAGAGATTTCTGTGGCACATGTCTATCAAATGCCATTTGCTGGAAATTCCACATGGTTTTCTATCCAGATGGTGCCCATGACAAAGCGAAGGCGTTCTGGCATGCAGGAAAGTTAGGGTGATGGACGCCAAGCGAAGTCACTGTATTATTCATCATCAAATGTTGTTGGCCAGGAAGCTGACTGCTGCCAGCTGAGCCCCACAGTGGTCCAGTGAAGAGGCTGGTTTCTAACAGAAGCTAGGAACATCATTAGGGAGGGAGGGTGCGGCGGGGGGAAGACGGGGGTTAAAAAGGGAGAAGTTTCTCAGACTTGTCTTGGCTTTGCAACCTTGGGCAAGTCACTTCACCTCTCTGGGCCTCTCAGCTTAGTGTTTTTATAAATGCAAGGCACAAATTGTCATCAGTACTTCCCAAACCTGGCTGTGCACCAGAATCTACGGGGAAGCTTTTTTTTTTTTGCGGTACGCGGGCCTCTCACTGTTGTGGCCTCTCCCGTTGAGGGGCACAGGCTCCGGATGCGCAGGCTCAGCGGCCATGGCTCACGGGCCCAGCCGCTCCGCGGCACGTGGGATCCTCCCAGACCGGGGTACGAACCCGTGTCCCCTGCATCGGCAGGCGGGCTCTCAACCACTGTGCCACCAGGGAAGCCCCGGGAAGCTTTTTAAAATACTGATTCCTCTAGGCCAGCAGTCAGCAGAATTTTTCTGTAAAGGGCCAGATAGGAAATAGTTTAGACTTTGTAGCTTGTATGATGTCTGTTGCAACTGCCATGCTCAAGTCTCCCACTGTGTCATCAAAGCAGCCCAGGGTGAAATGTACACAAATGAATGTGGCTGGATTTGGCCAGCTTCCCTGAGGGCCATGGTTTGCTGACCCCTGCTCTAGGCCAGGTGTGGCCTCCCTGGATAAGGACCAATTTTCTGTTTATTTACAAAAGCTCCTCCAGATGATGTGGAGAGGCAGCTGCACTTGGGATCCACCAGATTAGACGCTATAAGGCTTCTTCCAGCCTTCACTGGAGCTTTGATTCTCTATTTTCACTGTGAGAAGTGGCCACTCACAGTCAACACTATTTAGACAGTGATCTTAATATTCTTTCAAATGCATACCACTTGGGTATTAGCTTTCTACATCTGAAGTTTTTACTCTCTCAAAATTCAATTCTCTATTCTACCAGGAGAAGTTTGAACAGTCCTTTTCACTATGTTTAGACCTAAAAGCACTTCTGTGTGTGATATGCCTTGTCAGTTCTTTGTAAGTGACAACTGCACTGCTAACTTACAAATGAGAAGTTTAATATTATCCTGTCTAGGCCCTAAATGGCTATGATAAGGTGAGCCTCCACTTAAGAAAGGATAATACATAAAAATATGAAATTATGAAACAGTTACGGGTGTTTATAGTGTTGGGGTAGAATTTCCTTTGTATGGAGAATTCCCTTTCTACTACAGTCATGACTGTTGGGTGATAATACATCCTGGTTTCCTACAGACAGTCCTAGTTTTCACCTGTATTCCCTGAGCAATTAACATAGCGCCCCCTTTTCATTCTCAAAAATGTCCACATTGGATGATAAATTACATGGTTGCATGGGCGACCTTGAGGGAAAACAGTCAAAACGACTGTTCCATTCATTTTGCACTTTCTAAGAGACAGGCACTGCTCTGAGGGTTTTAATGATATTATCCCACTTAATCATTACAGTATTTTGCTGATGGCTGATGTCTCTAGGTTGGGTTTCCTCAAAAGCAGGCCATGAGGCAAGGATTTGGGGACAAGTAGTTTTGGGGGAAATGCTCTTAGGAAGCACAGGTAGGGGAATAAGGATGCAAGGCAGGGAAAGGAAGGAAGCCAGTACACAGTACATTTTTGAGTAGGTTATGGCCCTGAAGAAGCGGGGTTCAATTTCCCCGGGAACCCTCTAAGAGATAAGGTCAGCATGCCCTCAGGAGGGGCAGGGAACCAACAGTTTTATTCCACAGTTCCCAT